TAAAAAGTGAAGACCGCACACGAAACATTGCATTTTGTTGAAAACTGATAAACGATCTAACAAAATCGTACAAACATATGAAATCAAAATAATTATAATTCGTAAAAAAAAAATAGGAATACATAATACAAATATAAACTACAAAAATATATTAACTAATTACATAATTTCAGTTTGCTAATTCAAAATCGGAAATGATACTTGAGCTAGAAAGCATAACTAAGTAAGAAAATCGAATTTCATGTCTTAAATTCAACAAGAATCGAAAATTTCGAAGATGAAACATGAGGAGAGGAAAGAGTGAAGCGGCGCAAATGGCAAGCCTAAACCTAATGCCGACAAAATGCTATTATAGGGCCGATTTCACACGTGCATTTCGGTTAATTATTGTCAACCGTTCGATGATCTTTTTTTTTAATTGAATTGTATTTGGGCTCTCTAATAGTGGGTCGTTTGCAATAAAAAAAAAAAAAGAAATTACACCATGTACAACATATATCACTCTTTTGCAAAATTATCACATGTATAACATTAATTACAAAATTACTAGATATATAAAAAATAATTAATTTAAGCATGCAATTAACTGATGTCATGATCGTTCCATTATTATATAATTTTAATTTAAAAACAAAATTGTCATTTAAAAAGACAGAAATAATAAAGCCCGTGCATCGCACGGGGACTGTACTAGTAAATATATAAAGAGACAACTTATTTAACAAAAATAGTAGCAAAAAAATAAATCATAATTAATACAACCCATAAATAGTAAGTTTTATTATTTTTCTTATTTTTCTTTAAAAATCATACAACATTAAATGCTACCTTAAATTTCGTGCTTTAGTTTATTTTATTATTTAAAAAATCCGGCTAAAATCTATCAAGTGTGCATGTTTTTATTTATTTTTTTTTTTAAAACAACGAACAACATTAAAATATCGGTCTCTATATTTATAAAATATCATTTCAACATATAACAAAAGTTTTAGAATCTCAGTCTTTATATTTTTGTCTTTCAAAAAAAAAAAAAAAAAAAATTTGAACGCTAAAAATATTCTTTAAATTGATAATCAATAAATTAATCTTAATTTTTTTTTTCAAATTTACCATGTTTATTTTTTATTTATATGCATAAAGTAAAATAATTAATTCATCTTTAGATATATAATTTATAATCTTAATATACTATCATT